CCCAATGACCCTGACCCTTTCCTGACCATCCTGCCCCTGCCCCAAACACCCTGCCCCGACCATCCTGCCCCTGCCCGACCATCCTGCCCCTGTCCTGACCATCCTGCCCCGGCCCGACCATCCTGCCCCTGTCCCGACCATCCTGCTCCTGCCCTGAACACTGTAACCCTGCCCTGACCACCCTGCCCCTGCCCCGATGACCCTGCCCCTACCACAGCGACCCTGCCCCTGCCCTGACAGCCCCGACCGCCATCTGAGCTGCTTCTTCCTCTTCCTTCAGCCTGTGCAGGTCACCGAGGTATGGGGAGAGACAGGGATGTGGGGAGCAGTCTGCTGTGCCCTGGGGAAGGCCTGGGACTAGACCCACAAGCTTCACTCTGGTGGCCTCAGGAGAGTTTTCTGACCGTGCCTGTGGGTGTCTGGACCTGCAGTCAGCGATGGTTCAAGAATGCTGTTGAGGCCGTGTCGGGGGCTTCTGTGGCTTTCCCTGGGTTTGGAGCAGCAACAGGTGCTTCTGGATTAAATCTCCAGTTGTAGCCGCTGGAAGCCAAGGACGCCCAGTGAGACGTGAACTCCAGACGCGCTGCACAAAGCCACGGACACTAGAGAGCTGTGGTTGCGTGTCTGAAATTCACATTTGACCGGACGGATTAGCTGGCTCTCGCCCCATCCCCTGGAAGGGTGTGGGCCAGCGGCCTTGGAAGCTGCCTCTCACCCGGGCTGTCCCTCCCAGGCTGCACCCCCAGGAAGTGCGGCAGAGGCGTCACCGATACCGTCATCACCAGGGAGGAGGCGGAGCGGATTCGCAGGTAACTGCCCATCCCTGAGCACGGTGGGATTTAAACAAACATGCAGAGTCGTGGAGTGGGGCTGAGGTGGGGCAGAGCATTATTAGTAATAAAGGGGTTTTAAAGATTTTATTAGAATTTCATAAGAATTTCCTTATGTGCTTTCAAGGGCCAAGCTCAGATTTTCTGATTTCAGGAGAGGAGGCCACGGCCCTCCGTGGAGCCGTAGCTGAGTGCGTGCCCGGAGCCCCGGGCTCCTCTGCAGGGTTGCACTGCCTCTGGGGGCTGCCGAGTGCCCCGTGCTCACCGCGGAGCCTCCAGGAGACTGCTTGATAAGTGCCCAGTGTCTTCCCTGAGACTGCCTCGGGCAGCCCTTCGGCCGACCTGGCTGAGACCTGTGGCAGCACAGCATGCCACACGGGGCAGCTGGCGCTGGACTTTTCTTATTGAGATCTTAAAAGGAAGTTTCGTTTTCCAGCCGCTCTGAGATGGTGTGCAGCCGTGGGCCACTGCCCCACCCTGAGATTCCTGCCCTCAGGGCGCCTGCCCCTGAGGATGCTGCCCAGCACCACGCGGGGTTACTGCTGTCTCACTAAGGCAATGGCGCGTCCCTGCTCAGTGTCCATGGGCGGCTCCCAGCACCTGCAGCAGCTCGGGGTGGTCCTCTCAGGTCCAGCACGGCCGGCGCGTGGGTATCTTCCTCACCACGGGCAGGGCCTCAATCTCCTGAGCTGATGAATCTCAAAGCTGCCTCCACCTGCCTGAGGTCCCAGGAGAGACGGGGAGCAGCAAGCCCTCTCCCAGATGCTCCCCAGGCCCCTGAGCTTGGTCCAGGTTGCTCTCGATGTTGAAGATGAGAGATTAAGTCATTTTTATTATTATTATTTTTTGAGATGGAGTCTTGCTCTGTCACTCAGGCTGGAGTGCAGTGGTGCGATCTCGGCTCACTTCAACCTCCGCCTCGGGTTCAAGCGATTCTCCTGTCTCAGCCTCCCAAGTAGCTGGGATTACAGGCGCCCACCACCACCACGCCAGTTAATTGTTGTATTTTTAGTAGAGACAGGGTTTCACCATGTTGGCCAGGCTGGTCTCAAACTCCTGACCTCAGGTGAGCCACCACCTCGGCCTCCCAAAGTGCTGAAGTCCAGCCGTTTCTACGCTGAGTCAGGTATTGACAAGACTGAGATGACGGTATTGTCGCTTAGGCACTGAGCTTTGAAAGTTGAGTCCTTTGGTCTAAACATTTGTTTACATCCTAAACATTAAGCAAGCAGGACCCACTAACATGGCATTAACTGTGCTGATTGATGTTTTGCCTAGATGATACATTATAGACAATTCTAGTAACTAAATTCTGAATTATTTTCTCCCCACAGCATAGCTGAGAAGGGACTCTCTCTGGGAGGCTCTGACGGAGGGGTGAGTTGAATGTAGTTCCTGCCCCTTTTTTTTACACTTTAACTTTGCTCTCACTCGGAGGGACAGGGCACAGACGTGCAGGGTCCCCGGGTGTCCCCAAATGTAGGTGGGGCCAGCCGTGGTGTCTCTCAGCACCCACTGCAGCAGCTGTGCCTGACTGAAGCCCACGTATGGCCTCTCATTGGGAAGAGCGTGTCCTTAGATGTGCGTTGCCATCTCTTCACGGCCTATCATAGCCTGCCTGGCTCCAGGTCACATGAGGGAGGATGGAGGGGGTCGGAAGCAGGGAGCCGGCAAGGGAGAGGGGTGGGAGCCCGGTGAGGAGACGGCTGTGTGCCCTGGACACGGGAGAGCCCGCGGAGCTGCTGGGAAACAGCAGAGCCTCCGTGGGACAGATGCTGTGATGCATCTCATTCCTCCATGGACGCCTGCCAGGGCTGCCGTCCCCTGTGTGATGCTGTGGGAGGGCAGCTGGTGGCCTTGCAGAATGTGTCCACTTGGAGCCCGTGGACATGATCTGATTTGGAGATGGGACCTTTGCAGATGTAATTAACTTAAGGCTCTCAAGATGAGATCACCCCAGATTCAGGGTAGGTCCTAACTCCAATGGCAAGTGCCCATAGGAGACAGAAGCAGGGGGAGATTTGAGAGAGAGGGGGAAAAGATCCCCTGCAGACAGAGGCAGAGAGGGGGCCCGCGGCCACAGGAAGTGGCAGGCAGGACCTCCCCTGGAGCCCCGGGAGGGAGCAGGGCCCCGCCCACAGCTCCATTTTAGACCTCTGCCCTCCAGAGCTGTGAGAGAATGAACTTGTGTGTTTTTCTCTTTTCTGAACTTGTATTGTTTTAAAGCCCCAGTTTGTGTTACTGCAGCCGCAGGGAACACGGAGCCAGCGCCCGCTGTGGCCTCGCCGTCCTGATGGGCGGTGGCTAGGAGTCAGTCCCCGGCACGGCCGGTGTTAGCACGAATTCCCATGCGGTTTTCCCAGGGTCATTTTCTTCCTTGGGGTGTGGACTTGTCTGAAGATCTGTTTCTCTTTGTGTGTTTGGCGATTGTTTTGAGTTATGAGCATTGCGGAGACCCAAGTCTAAGCCTTCCGCATATTTTAAACCTCCAGGAATACTAATTTATAGACTCTTCAAGAATTTCACAGTGTTTCCTTTTTCTTTTTTGGGATGGAGTCTCACTCTGTGGCCCAGGCTGGAGTGCAGTGGTGTGATCTCGGCCCGCTGCAACCTCTGCCTCCCAAGTTCAAGAGATTCTCCTGCCTCAGCCTCCCAAGTAGCTGAGATTCAGGTGCCCGCCACCACACCTGGCTAATTTTGTATTTTTAGTAGAGACGGGGTCACCATGTTGGCCAGGCTGGTTTTGAACTTCTGGCCTCAAGCAATCCACCCATCCCAGCCTCCCAAAGTACTGGGATTACAGGCCCGAGCCACCTTGCCTGGATGGTCTGGGAGGATTTTAAGAAAGTCCTGGGTTGAGGCTGGGCATAGTGGCTCACGGCTGTAATCCCAATACTTTGGGAGGCTGAGGTGGGAGGATCACTGGAGCCCAGGAGTTTGAGACCAGCCTGGGTAATATAGTGAGATCCCATCTCTACAAAAAATAGAAAAATTAGCCAAGTGTGGTGGCGAGCACCTTCAGTTCCAGTTACTTGGGAGGCCAAGGTGGGAGGATTGCTTGGCCTGGAGCGTGGCATGTGGAGGCTGCAGTGAGCTGAGATTGTGCCACTGCACTCTAGCCTGGGCAACAAAGTAAGATCCTTTTTACAAAAAAATAAAATAAAATCCTGGAGTGCGTGCAGGACGGACCTTGGTAACTCACGTTTACCATCAGTGACTTTAACACAGCTGTGGCCGTTGCTGTGGCCACACGCTTTACTCCGCAACGTCTTCTCTAGGCGTCCATTCTGGACTTGCACTCCGGGGCCCTGTCTGTCGGGAAGCACTTTGTGAATCTGTACAGGTGAGTGCTGCAGCATGACCTCAGTACTGGCTCTGAAGGCCAAGTGAGCGGCTCCGTGCCTCTTACCATGGACACGTGGACACGTGAGGGAGGGTCTGTCTCGGGGCAGCCTCAGGGCCTCAGTGGCTGTGATGCTGGCTGGACGCAGGAGCTGGGAGGTGTGGGCTCTCTGCAGCCTGTGGGCCGGAGGCTTGTTCATGAAACTTCAGGGGAATCTGGCGTTTTCTGTGGGCCCAGGGACAGAAGGGGTGGGTGCAGGAGGCAGCAGAGGTGGAGGGCTCCCAGGAGCAGCCGCCGACAATCCGAGGGGCGGGGGAGGAGAGACCCTCCCTGCCTCACATGCTAGCCCGGGTCCTGCTCCCAGCCGGCCCCTTCTTTGTTATTATTACTGTTATTTTCTGAGATGGAGGATCGCTCTGTCACCCAGGCGGGAGCCACTGCGCCCGGCCCCGGCTCCTCTCCTTCTTTATCCTGTAGTAGTTACCACTGTAGAAATGGAGTCGCGAGGACCAGTTGATTTTCAGGGATTTGCAGGTTAGCTTAAGGAATGACCGAATTGAAAGGAGATGAACAACAGATTAAGAAAGTGTGTTGTGAATTCTCCTTTTTTTTCACAGATATTTTGGGGATGAAATACAGAACATCTTCTCAGAGGAGGACTTCCAGTTATACCGGTAAGGAGGAGTGAGGCGGGTAGGGGATTGCAGGTGGGGTGGCCTGGGGCTGAGGGGTGTGGGGAGCTGACCCGTCTGGGGAGGCCCCACAGAGAGGCCCAGGGGCCAGGGTCAGGGCCTGGCCCAGAGACGAGTTTTCACAGAGCAAAGGCTGGGGCAGGCCCAGCGTGGCCAGGGTGCGCCCGGGTCAGTGAAACTTATCTGGAGTCCTGTGGCCGCATCCTGGTCAGGGCCTCTTGTTTTCTGCTGTGTAAAATCAGCCCAGTTGTTAAAATTCTGCTGGATGAGGCCGGGTGTGGTGGCTGACGCCTGTAATCCCAGCACTTTGGGTGACTGGGCTAATCACCTGAGGTCAGGAGTTCAAGACCAGCCTGGTCAACATGGTAAAACCCTGTCTCTACTAAAAATATAAAAATTAGCTGGGCATGGTGACAGGTACTTGTAATCCCAGCTACTTGGGAGGCTGAGGCAGGAGTACTGCTTGCACCCTGGGGGCAGAGGTTGCAGTGAGCCAAGATCGTGCCATTGTACTCCAGCCTGGGTGACAGAGTAAGACCCCGTCTCAAAAAAAAAAAAAAAAAAATCTGCTGGAGGAGCCCAGGTTGGGATGAGGACAAAGGAGCCAAGTGTCACGCAACCGTCCCAGGACGCACACGTGCCCCCTCAGGCCTGTGCCCATCCATTTCAGCGCCTCTCGGGTCTGACACATGGGGTCTTCTGAGCGTGAGTCCCCTTGTCCCCCCCACCCCGTACAGACACGCCATCCACATTTAGCAGGCTCCACGCCCCTTCCACGCCCACGTCAGGGGATAGCAGCCTCTTCCTTGCTGAATAGGAGGCTGGGCTCCCAGCCCTGCAAGTCCCGCCCTGGGACTCTGGCATCGGGGTCCCGAATCCGCACCAGCCTCCCCAGCGTGGGTCCCGCGGGCGCCCTTCTCCCTCCTCCCAGTCCCGCTGCTGTGGTCGCTCTCTCCGCGCGTGGGCGGCGGCCACGTGCTCCCCGGGCAGAGCCAGGATCTGTTCCCGCTGTGCTGGCCGGCCCCTCTTTCTGGCACCCACAGGTCGGGACCCACGGGCGTCCCCTCCCGCCTGCGGCTGCGCTGACGGCTGGCGTGTCCTCTGCAGGGAGGTGCGGCGGAAGGTCCAGCTGACCATCGCGGAGGCTTTCGGCATCAGCGCGGCCTCGCTGCATCTGACCAAGCCCACCTTCTTCTCCCGGATAAACAGCACGGAAGCGCGGACGGCGCACGACGAGTACTGGCACGCGCACGTGGACAAGGTGAGCACGCGCGCGGACTGGGTGAACACGCACGTTGACAAGGTGACCGCGCGCGGACTGGGTGAGCGCGCATGAGGACAGGGTGAGCGCGCGCACGGACTGGGTGAGAGCGCGCGGGGACTGGGTGAGGACAGGGTGAGCGCGCATGTGGACAGGGTGAGGACAGGGTGAGCGCGCGACATGGTGAGTTCGCACGTGGACAGGGTGAGTGCTCACGCGGACAGGGTGAGGACAGGGTGAGCGCGCACGTGGACAGGGTGAGAGCGCGCGTAGGAGGTGAGCGACCATGGACTGGGTAGGCTGCCCTGCACCGGCTGCCTGCGCGGGTGCCTGGCAGGGCCACGTGTTCCCGTTCTCCGGCGGTCAGGGACTACCACAGGGCTGCCTATTGCAACATCTGCCTGCCGTGTTGACGGCGTCAGTATGTATGCATGTATGTATTGATTGATTGATTAAGAAAGAGCCTCGCTCTGTCACCCAGGCTGGAGTGCAGTGGCACGATCTCAGTTCACTGCAACCTCTGCTTCCCGGGTTCAAGCAATCCTCCGGCGTCAACCTCCCGGGTAGCTGGAATTACAGGCGGGCCCCACCATGCCTGGCTAATTTTTGTATTTTTAGTAGAGACGGTTTCCCTAGGTTAGCCAGGCTGGTCTTGAACTCCTGACCTCGTGATCCGCCTGCCTCAGCCTCCTAAAGTGCTGGGATTACAGGACGCGCCACCATGCCCAGTGGGTGTTAGCAGTTAGATGTCTTCCTCCCTGAGGTTTCAGGGCACACCCTCCATCTCACTGATGGAGCTGGGGAAATACAGTTTCTCATGTGACGGTGACAAGAAGTGGAGGGACCCGCCCCACACGGCCTGTGGTGGCCCCCCTGCTATTCATCTGCAGGTTCATGCTTGACCTCTTCCAGCAGCCGGCCTCCTCTCCGACCCGCATGCCCTCCCTGGCCCAGGTCTCTGTGTTGGCTGTGGGAGCCGTCTTCTACCGCTTTCTACCTTCCTTTCTTTCTGAGACAGGGTTTCACTCTTGCTCAGGCTGGAGCGCAGGTGTGCAGTCATGGCCCACTGCAACTCTGACCCCCCAGGCTCAAGCGATCCTCCTGCCTCGGCCTGGTCTAAGACTGTAGCTGGGGCCACAGGCGCATGCACCGACGCCTGGCTCATTTTTGTATTTTTTGTAGACGCAGGGTCTCACTATGCTGCCCAGGCTGGTCTGACTTCCTGGGCTAAAGCAATCCTCCCGCTCCGGCTGCCCAAGGTGCTGGGATTACAGGCGAGAGCCACTGCCCAACACGTTTTCTTTCTTTATCTTTTCTTTCTTTCTTTCTTTCTTTTTTTTTTTTTTGAGACAGAGTCTTGTTCTGTCACCCAGGCTGGAGTGCAGTGGCGCGATCTTGGCTCACTGCCACCTCCACCTCCCAGGTTCAAGGGATTCTCCTGCCTCAGCCTCCCAAGTAACTGGGATTATAGGCAGCTGGGATCATAATCAGCCTGGATGGAAGTGGTTGGGTGGCACGGTCAGCAGCCCCAGGGCTGAAGTTCAAATACAAGGTTAAAGGCAGAAAGCCTGTGTCTGGGAAGATCAGCAGTGCTGCTGCCCCGCCACGCCTGCTGTGACGGAGGATGGAGTGGCGGTTAGATGGCCGGCTTTCTGTGCCACGAGACGTTTGTTACTAAGTTTTTCTTTAAGCACAGCCTTTTTTTTTAGACAGAGTCTCCTTCTGTCACCCAGGCTGGAGTGCAGTGGTACAATCTTGGCTCACTGCAACCTCTGCTTCCTGGGTTCAAGCCATTCTCCAGCCTCAGGCTCCTGAGTAGCTGGGATTGCAGGCATGTATCACCATGCCCGGCTAATTTTTGTATTTTTAGTAGAGATGGGGTTTCGCCATGTTGGCCAGACTGGTCTGGAACTCCTGACCTCAGATGATCCGCCCACCTTGGTCTCCCGAAGTGTTGGGATTACAGGCATGAGCCACCGCGTCTAGCCACAAGTGCAGTCTTGTTTCACCCACTCCCTCCTGCCCTGCTCCCACCCTCTGCTCCATGGCGTTTCTGGACATCATATTATCACCTCCATGAAGCTGAGTAACCCCCTCTAAAATAAAAGGCATCCCCCCCAAATGACACACGCATACTCCACGGTCACATCTAGGCATCAGCAGGAAGGCCTTGCTGTCCACAGGTGTTCTGTCACATGCCCAGATCTCCCTGGGGTCCACAGGCGTGTCTGTGTCTGTTTGGCCTTGGTTTGTCAGGTTAGTAGGCTCATAGGTGCCAGGGACCCTCTGCCCTCTTCTCCCTGTTTAAACCATGTGTTGAAGACAGTGGCTGTCTACTCCATGGGGCTTCCTGTGTTCCAGACTCTGAGCCTCCACCTCCTCCACCTGGGACGTGCCTTCCTGTGGAATGTTCCATTCTGCAGTGAGAACGTTCCCTCCCACCCACCCCCTGCCCGCTGCCCGCTGGTGCCATCTGAACTGCAGCATGGATGTGGCTGCTAGACTCAGGAGCTTGATAATCTAAGTGAATCAGCCAAACATGGCGAGGGCTCCTGTGTGGCCAGCACAGCACCCGGTCAGATTTGGGCTGGAGTGTGGGTGCTTCTGGGCAGCCTTCCGGGAAGCAGGAGATGTTGCCTGTTTCTCTCTGTGCATTAGGGGGCCATGGCGTTATTCATCCACCTGATCCACACTGGGCTCCCGCCTGCCTTCCCCAGGGACCTTAACAACAGTCAGTTTCAACTGCCTGGACCTGTGGCTGCCTCAGGGGACCAGGGCTGAGACTCTTGGCCTGAGACAGTCACTGTCACCTGCAGAGGGAAAACAAGGTGCTGTGACATGTAGGGCGGAGGTGACGTGTGGGGTCAGGCAGGTGTGTCTGATCTGAAGGTGGTGTGTCCTTGGGGGAGGAAATCTTCCCACGGGAGGGGGTCCAGAATCTCCCGACATGCAGGCCAGGCGCCTCCGGTTCCCGCGTGTGGATAGAGAGGCCAGAGACGGGGGACCAGCCAGGGTGCACCCCTGCTGCCCGCTGCCTCTGGTTCCCGCGTGTGGACAGAGAGGCCGGAGCCGGGGACCAGCCAGGGTGCACCCCTGCTGCCCGCTGCCTCTGGTTCCCGCGTGTGGACAGAGGCTGAAGCTGGGGGACCAGCCAGGGTGCGCCCCTGCTGCCCGCTGCCTCTGGTTCCCGCGTGTGGACAGAGAGGCCGGGGCCGGGGACCAGCCAGGGTGCACCCCTGCTGCCCGCTGCCTTTGCTGGAACACAGCTGCTCAGACATTTCAGCTTACGGGAAATCCTGGTCCAGAACGCGTAAGGCTGGAGACTCGGCAGAGGGTTTTTAAATCGCGACCACTGGCCTCACGAATGGGGCCGACACGTGTTGTTAATTTACTTTCTGGAAAATAAGAGGCACAGAATGTCGGCGGCTCACGCCTGTAATCCTAGCACCCAGGAGGCCAAGGTGGGAAGATCACCTGGGGCCAAGGTGTGTGGATTGGCACCATATCTACAAAAAAACCTGATCTGGGTGTAGTGGCGCGCACCTGTGGTCCCAGCTACGAGGAGGCAGGAGGATTGTTTAAGCCAGGAGTTCAAGGTCATGGTAAGCGATGACGGTGCTGACTGCACTTCAGCCTGGGTGACCCTGTCTGTAAAAGAGTTGGAGACCCTGCCCATTAACAAAAAAGAGAAGCAGAGACTGTCCCGGCCGCGTACTGAGAGCCCATTCTGCCCCCTCCCCGCTCTGCTCTCAGGTGACCTACGGCTCCTTCGACTACACCTCACTGCTGTACCTCTCCGACTACCTGGAGGACTTTGGTGGAGGGCGCTTCGTGTTCATGGAGGAGGGCGCCAACAAGACGGTGGAGCCGAGAGCCGGTAGGAGGCCGGGCGGGGCTGGGCGTGGGGTCCCGGCTCAGGCAGGCACCGTGGGTGTGGGGGCGTCCCTGGGAGCCAGGCTGCACTCACGGAGCACCTGCTGAGTGTCAGGCTATAGCTGACTGATTCAGTAGGCACCAGGAGGCTGGTGTCTACGGGGCCACGTGTCTGAGGTCCGGGTGCTGCCGCTGGCCCAGAGCCCGCCTCCAGGCCCTGGTGCATGTCACCTTGGCGGTCAGGGTCCCCTTCCCTCCCCTGGCACGTGTCACCTTGGCGGTCAGGGTCCCC